TTTAAGGTTATCAATTATGTCTTGAATAAAAAGCTCTCTACAGATGATCATTGTGCTGTACTTTGAACTCATTTAACTGGACATTATTTGCAGAATATTTATCTTGGTTATGGCAGTTTTTGTCACACAGCGATATTACTTTTCCATTATATACTGCATGTGACCACCACATAAGTTTGATAATAAATGTTGGGAAATAAAAAACAGAGTAAGTGCCTCAGTATGATAGCAATTCCCATGTGATGGGAAATAATGTCATAAACTTCAAATTACCTTTTAAATAAATGTTTACGTCCAACCCATCCATTAGATCATAGCCCGAAGGGTCAGGAGGATCATTTCTTCATATTTCACTGTATGCATTATGATTGCTTTTTTAGGTGTAAATGATGTTTTTAAATGAAGAATGGCACTCGAACTATACACAAACAACGGCTAGACATTACTGAGTCGCAGTATGGCAGAAATAGCCTCAGCCACTCGGCTAAATATAGAAGTGCAGCAGTAAATTGAATTCATTCTTAGAAAATATTTTTATTGGTGTACGTGCTGAGACGATACAGAAATACAGCTCATGTCATTCTCACAGTTTGCAGCTTTGACATTTTAGTCAAGTTTAAATTCTAGTTGTGGTTTGGTAGATGGCTGATTTGCTAAATGCTTATGAGAGTGAAGATTTTGGAGAGCGGGGAAGAGCATACCTGAGTGTGCAGAGAAGTGTACAGGTGACAAATATCATATTAATGAGGCTCTTAACCATCTAGGGCTTTGTGCACTTGTGAAGTGATGCGACCTCTGTAAGAGCCCAGGGATGGTGTTTCCCTGAGAGCACCCCATGTAAAACATCCCACATGTTGAGACCCCCTTATTCCCAATGCCTTTCATAGGAATGGGACAGAGCTGCCCATCTCAGCGATGAAGCAAACTGAAATCCCAGGTTTAGACATTTCCCTGCTCTGAACTGGACCTTCCTAGTCCATACAGAATCATAGAATGGTTTAGGTTGGAAGGGACCTTAAAGATCATCTAGTTCCACCCCCCCTGCCGTGGGCAAGGACACCTCCCACTAGACCAGGTTGCTCAGAGCCCCATCCAGCCTGGCCTTGAACACCTCCAGGGATGGGGCATTCACAACTTCTCTGGGCAACCCGTTGCAGTGCCTCACCCTCATAATGAAAAATTTCTTCTTAATATCTAATCTAAATCTAAACTCTTTCAGTTTGAATCCATTCCCCTTCAACCTATCACTACATGCCCTTGTACAAAGTCCCTCTCCAGCTTTCTTGTAGGTGCCCTTCACATACTGGAAAGCTGCTGTAAGGTCTTCCCGGCACCTTCTCTTCTCCAGGCTGAACAACCCCAACTCTCTCAACCTGTCCTCATAGGGGAGGCGTTACAGCCCTCTGATCGTCTTTGTGGGCCTCCTCTGGACCCACTCCAACTAGTCCATGTCCTTCTTGTGCTGAGGACTGCAGAGCTGGACACGGTACTCCAGGTGGGGTCTCACAAGAGTGGAGTAGAGGGGCAGAATCACCTCCCTCGCCCTGCTGGCCACACTTCTGATGCAGCCCAGGATGCAGTTGGCTTTCGGGGCTGCAAGTGTGCATTGCCGGCTCATGTTGAGCTTCTCATCAACCAACACCCCCAAGTCCTTTTCCTCGGGGCTGTTCCAACATTTGGCACCCCAAAACATCCCACGCATCAAAGCTTTTATAGGTGGTGTTAAATGTCTTATCCCTGCAGCACTAGGCTGAAAACCCAACTGGGAGTTGAATTGGTTGGCCTAACAGAGAGGTGGCTTTGAAGAAGCAGAAGCTGCAGGTGTCCTGAGATTGCTGACGTGCATGGGGGGATGGGGCAGGTTCCTCAGGCTGAGCTGGACTGGCTGGTAGTGGGGAAAGGAAGAGCTGTCAAGGGCCATTAGACCAAACTGGAAATAAATGCAAACAAAAACCTTCTGTTTACAGGCAGGGAAAAACCCATTGTCTTGGAGATTTAAAACACCAATCAAGAAATACAGTGGTGTTTTTGCTGCAACTATGATTTGACCTTCCTGTTTACATTAAAAAATTTTTATGGTGGTGCGCAGTGACGTGGTTGCTTTGTTTTGGGTATTTGACAGTTACAGTGGTTCTGGGAATAATTGTTTTGGTTCTATATATGTCAAAAAAGAAATATGTTAATATTTGAGATCATGGTTTGGTTTTTTTTTAAACTTATTTGTATTTGCTGTGTCTCTCAACCTTACCTTCTTTCATGAGGACCATGAACATGTTAAACTTAGTTTTAAAACAACATTTCTTAGTAACATAATAAATAGTTCATGTCCAAAACATTCTTTTTAGCTGGAGGTTAATCTACTCTAGAACCAGTTGGCCATACTATTGCTTCTTTTGCCATTGTTGTTTGTGTAAAAATGGTATATTAATTTCTTAGAGTTCACTTGATCCTGATTCTTTTTTGTTAGCAGAGGTCTATAATCCTTTCCACAGCAACCACTTGTAAAAGCAGAGGATTATGACTTGAGGCAGGATATGAGCAGCAGGAACAGATCAACTTAAAAACAAAGATCCTGTTTGAGTACAAATGCTATTGTTAGCACAGAGTTGGGGTGAGTCAAGTGGCAGGATGTCTATTAGAGTATAATAAATTAGTATCTACGCCACATGGCATACTAGCCAGAAGACACATCCTTTTAACAGTTATGTGATAGACTACATATTTTTATACCTTTACTTATTATACTTGTGCCTAGTCCAATAAACCATTCCTTCTGAGAATGGCTGATATCTAAACATCTGAACAGCTTTCTGGTTTTCTGTAGATGTATTTTTCTGTCTAAAAAGGTTCCGCACTGTTATACTTTTCCCAAAATCTGCTAAAAGCAGGAATTTGAAATTACACTACCGCAAGGTCGTTCTGAGGTTAGTAATAGCCATTTTGGACTGTTGATACCTTTTCTTATGACTTATGTGATCCTTCAGAAAAAAGGAGGAGATTTTTTTAAATTTGTCCCTGTATTTAAAAAAAAGAAATACAAGAACATTTTTTCTTTATTAAGAAGTCTTGGGTTTAATACTGATAGCTTAACTGACCTATCTAACAGTAATATATGTGACTCCATTTCAAAGTATTTGTGAAGTTTATTTTTTTTTCCTAGTATTTTTCCTGTTAAAGTCAGTAGGAAGTAACGAAGGTACCAAGTGACAGAATACATTCTAGTCAAGTGTGAAAAAACACCCTACTTTTTGTAAAAATTTAAAAAAAATCTTACATGGCATGGATGAAATTAGTAAATATACAAAATGCAGTGATGGAATCAGGTAGCAGTTTCTTTTGGGACAATCTGTACAGTTATTCCAACAACTGACACCACATACAAGGGGTAATCTGTGCTTCCCAAACTTCTGGTGACTGTATTTTTTTAATAGACAACAAAATATATCCTGTTTATGTATGATACAAGTTTTGTCTCAGTATATCTTAATTTGTACATGCACATATATATATGTGTTACACACCATAAAATAGTAAAATTTCATATAAGCATCTCTAATGGCAAGTCAAACAGAAGCTTTGGGAGAAGAAAATGTTTGGAGTGGTCTTTAATCATTGCCACCTGGTGCCAAGGGGGGACTCAATATAATGGTTGCAGTGGGTTTGTTTGAGTGCTTGCCACTGCATGGGTTTGGATCCCTCTTCAGTGTCCTAAAGTTTTCAAGGTTAAAAAAAAAAACCCAAAACACCATAGTCTTAAAGTTATGTTTCTAACTCTGGTCTGAAAAGAAGATTTTATTGCATTTGATATATGGAGATATGGAGATCATCCTACTGATGGCACTTGGGCTGCAACTATATTATCAATGAATAAGAAAACAGAAGCCATGGCATTTCAACAGTATGAATTCTTCAGACTGTATTATTTTGTTAGCCTGAGGCAAGAGACTGTGCTCTTAGTACTCATCTGTGCAGAATGAGTAATCTGAGACAAATGTGTAGCCACACCGCGTGTGCAATATGTCCAGATACTATGGACTAGCTGGTCTTGCTGTGCGCCACAGGCAGCCAAGTATCTCTCGTGGACAAAAGACATATGTTAAAAAATGATAATTTTCTTATACTGTCTGGGATTTCACCACACGTAACTGCTTCTAAAAGCATTATAACAATGATGGTGTAACTGTGGGTCTGTTTATCTCATTAGAGTCAGAGTTTTATACTGTAAGGAGTTGGTTTTACCAGCAGGATTTTCTGTTACCTAACCAGAATTCTGTATTTTTATGTGAATTCTATGCACGTGAGCAACTGAAAATACGTATTCCCAGTGCGATCTGTTTCAGTGTTTTAACATGGCTTGCATTAGCATGTGTGATAGCATGAATTTTCTTTCTTCGCCAAAGCTGCTTAAACAATACGATGACAGATTTCTGCTTTTATTCTTCGTTAATGTCATTCTTCATCCTCTCTGCCCCACATCAGGGAGGAAGTGTTGTGAGTTTGCTATTTTAATGAAGAGAAATGAGGCATCTATCAACTAGGATTTATACTGGAGGGCACATCAATTCAGTTGCCTTGAGCTTGCTGAGTTTGCATATCCAGGGCCAAGTAGCGCTCTCAATTACTCCCGTGCAACCCCATTAACTTCAGCAGGTTGCGCAGTTCAAAAGGGGCTTCGCAGAACGCGGGGCGGTATTAGGGGGAAAAAAGGATATCTGATTGAGAAGTCAAGCTCCAAAATATTATTTTTGGTTATCTAAAAGGAGGTGTGCATGCAGACATAATTACACTTTTGAAAGGTTAGGGTAGTCATCGTATAGTAATTTCATTGAGTGTCTCTTTGTAGATGTGCCTGACAGAACAGACAGCCTCCCAAAAATCACTGCAGTGAGGGGGAAAACACTTCCAGCCCTGGAAACATATTGTAAATCATATGTCTTCAGTAGACTGTATCCTGTAATTAGTCTTAACCGTAGGTTGTTTCTTCCTTTTTCTCTCTCTAGGAGCTATGCCGTCAGCGCATGGCAGTGAAAACGTCTGATCGCCCGGAGCCCCTGCATGCTTCTCGAATAAATAGTGTTTCTTCACAATTTAGCGATGGGCCCATTCCCAGCCCCTCGGCCCGGAGTAGCACGTCGTCCTGGTGCGAGGAGCCAGTCCAGTCCAACATGGACATCTCCACCGGTCACATGATCTTGGTAAGGCGTTTTCATCTTCACGGCACGAGAAATGTCATCAGAACTTAAGGTACCTGCTCAGCTCTTGGAAAGATAATTTTTAAAGAAAGGGAAGCTGTCTTTTCACAGGTAAAAAGTATTCCTCAGTTTTGTTGGTAATATTAGCTTTGCATAATTAAAACTAAAGGGATTTTTATTTCCATTTCTTTTTCATTATATTGTTTTTTTCCTCTCTGGGGAACATGCTTTTATCTTGGACATACAAGTTGTTTGCGTGCTTGCTTTAAAAAAGATAAGCCCTGTGTTGTCCTTTTGTTCTGTTAATTTATGTTTACCTCAGCTTGGACAGCTGAAGAAAACTGCTGTATTTCTGATCAGCTTGCTGCTGTTTCTCATGTGTCTTTACTGTGCGGAGGTATCTGAGCTGAGAAGGCAGCAGACTATTTGTGATATGGAGCGATTTCTTTTCCATTACCCTTAGAAAAGAAAAGCGATCTGCATCACGAGCCTAGCCTGAATTTTGTTGTCCTTGGCTGGATTTCTTCCAAGCTGTATCTCTTCTATGTTTGAAATAATCCAAATATATTATATTGATGGAGTCTGCACTGGAAAACTTGGGTTACTTCCAAACACGACTTGCAACCAGTATCAGTGTAGAAGATGGACACTGGAAGATCTCTGTGTACGTAAGACATGGCTTTAGCAGCCCAAGACAGAGAGACTCCAGTGACTGGGACTTGCTGCAGGCTGTTTCTCCCTCTCTCTCTCAGGTAGTGTCCTGCTGGAAGAGCTGTGGAGTAATCCCCCATATTTTTTTTTGTGCTTTATTTTCCTCCTCCTTTAAATATTTGCTGTCTTGGTAGAGCGCAGTGAAATTAGCTGAGAAGGTGTTGGGTGATGGTGAAGATGTTATTTTGCTTTCTATATTTGATTTTTGCTATTTATTATTATGGTTGATCTAAAGTAAACACCCTCTCCAGTTGGTAGCATTTCCGTGCTTTTGGAAACTTCCCTGTTGATTTGTTTATTCACCGCTGAGAATACTCACCAGTGGGGTTTCTCATAAGAAAACTTCTCTCCACCTTGCCATACTTTCAGGTCATAATTTTTCAACTTCTTTCTCTCTTTCATCTGGACTTATATTTGAAAGTACTATTTTCTCAGATATTTTTCAAGTTCTTATAAGCCACCTCACCTAATGGAGAACGGAGTGAAGGCAGGCAAAACCCATAGAGCTCATTTGACCTCAGCCAAGTTACTGACCTCCTTCAACCTTGATCAGGTCAGCTATAAAACTGAGCAAAAGCAGGGCAAGTTTGTAAACCAGATGCTTCATCAGAGTATGTCATCCTGAGTAAATACTTCTTCCTCTGCCCCTGCCTGTTCCCCCCAGAAAAGGAGTTCATTAAGTATTATGTTAAAATCTGGTATACAAGTGGAGTTTGGAAGGGTTGCTCCCATGACTGAAAATCATTTGTCATAGTTTTTACTGTCCAACTTTTGCCTAACCAGAATTAAAATTCACTTGATTTCCTTTCACAGTTAACTGAAATACTTGGGGAAAAAAGAACCATGTTGATTGCCCAACCTCAAAATAAGTTTAAATTCCTGTGGTAAAGTTCTAAGGCAATATATTTGTATGGAAATAAGAGCAAAATTTCCTACATAGATGGAAATAGGCATTTAATATTTGCAAACCCTTTCAACTACTTTAAATGGAGCAAAATTGTTTTCAATTATATTACTGGGAAACATAAAAAAAAATCACAAAATCAGGCTTAAAGGAGAGAAAGTTGCATGTGGGAACCACTTATTCTGGCTCTGGGAATCTCTGCAAAATTGCAAGAAAGAATTGTCGTAGTATGGAGATACTTTAAAAAGTGGTCAGGTTGGTTCAGATCACTGTTACGGTGTTCAGTGTCCATAATTCAGTCAATCCTGTTTAACCCTGACTGAACTCGTACATATGTTAGCTATCTAACAGCATGTGTTATATCTTAGGTGGTGAGGGTTCAAAGAAGGGTAAAAGAAATGCTGTAGTGCCTTGAGCGTACAAACCACAGAGAGAGAGTAAAAATAGTTAATTTGTTTAGTCTAAACTGAACAAACAAAAATCAGTGATTCAGGGGAGTCTGCCTATGTGCTTTGAAATACAGGATGGGGAAAAATTGTTCTTAATAGACGCAAACGATACAATTAGGAAGAAAATATGGTTTAGAATCGAAAGGATGCATTTAGCCTGGGTATCAGGGCAAGCCTAATAGGAGGGTCAGGCAGGCAGTGGGATGTTTACTTAAAGGAAGCAGTTAAACCGTAAAGTCAAGGTTTGCTGAAGGCAAAACTGGGTTAGGTTTATATGGGAAGATCAGCATCGCTCAGCTACAGCACTGAACCAGATGATTGGGCTTGATGAGAAATGCTCGTGTTTTGTGTCACTGTGGGTCACACAGAAACCGGAGAGCTGACCCAATTTACGTTTTGCTCAAAAATAAATACACATATCTGTAATACCTTGTTTGCCTGAATTTCTCTCCCTCTGGAGATGCTGTGGCTTGTTGGACTTCAGCAATAGAAGAGGCTCGCTAGAGGTGAGCTTCTCCTCCTGTTGCCCTGCAGCTACAAGTGGAGGAGAGCAAGGGGCCAGTTTGCAACTTTTATACCATTCGATACAAGAAGTTTTCCAGTTCTTCCCATTTCCTGCTGCCACAATCCTCTTATCTAGTAAATTTTGTAGGTATTTTTGGTGAAAAATATCTCCGTGCTTAAAAAAGCAATGAGAAATATTAGCAAGGGGCCTCGCAAGAATGGCAAATACCATCTGCTTTGCAGGCTAAATGCACTTACAGCTCTGTAAATGTGTTTTTCAGCTCCACAGCATGCAGCGAAGTAGCAGTTAGCTGAGCTATGGCTCCTCAGTCTTTATTGTTCATAGGTGCCAGGACCTCCCCAGAGAAAATAAAAAAATGGATTTCTGTATTTAGCGGCAGCAGGAAATATTTTATTTTGATTTATAAACAGAATAAATCTTTAATGAAGGTAGCTTAGAAGAAATGTGTCTGCCACTGCTGAATGACTCCATGTAATCTTGCTCAGAGGTAGCGTTGGTCAGAAAAATTTCTGTAAAGCTGTTTAATTTGCTGGAAAATGCTAGCAGGTCGTACCTGAAGTGATGTCCAAGCCACCTCAGCTTTGGTTTTATTGAAGGCTGTGGTTGGCCGCGGGTACTGTTTTCTTGGAGGACTTGCTACTCGTGGTTGGCCCATTGTTCATAGTACTCCAGGTCTGGAGAAACCAGGAATCCTCCAAACCTGTGGCTGTGGGGCAGACTCCTCACGCAGACTGAAACCAGTCTTTCAAAGAGAAAAATCCTGCGTTTCTGCCACTTTCCTGTGCAGCAAAAGCAACGTCTCTGCACTGCTGACAGTAGCATGAGGGAGTTTGTACTGTTGGCAGGAGGAAGCAGGGAGGACTCAGGAGGCCGAGAAGGACGGCGCTAACAACATTCAGAGCTTTTTTTTCTTCCTTTTCACGTTCTTTTTCCTCACATTTATAGCAAGAGAATGGCCCATATGGCACTTTTTGATTCTGTCTTTCTAAAAGATCCAAGCACTTTGGAAAGTGTAATTAGTTGAGCATGTTTTATGCAGTCGTGTTTGCGGTGCTGACTATCTGGTTTTAGCATGAGCAACAAGAAAGAAGTGCCCTCATTTTGGTCGTTCTTGGTTTTGCAAGAAAACGGTTGTTTTTCAGAAGGTCACAGCAAGGGAAAGAGTAGGTACTTAGAATAAGATTTCCATGCACTTTATTCACATGTGTACATCTATATTTCAAGTGCCAAGAGAAGTCCTAATAAAGCGTAACGCTTCCCTTTACAGTCCAGCAAGAAAACCAGGGGGGTTTGAAGGTGTCCAGAAGAGATTTAGTCTCCCTGACTTGGGCTCCTAACTTATCCCTACATTTTAGGCACTTAATGAAGTGGTGGTCTTGACTTGAGTCCATAAATCCCCCTTCTAGTTGGTGGAGTGAGTGGATGGCTACGAAGGTCTCCAGAGATTTAGGCAGAGAGTGGATTTCTCTTGGGAGACCTGTTGTGCCTGCACCATCCCATTGACGTCTGCAGCTTACATGAAGGAGTCTCTTTTGTTCGTGCTGAACCACAAGTTCAGCACGTAAATTAGGTAGATTGGATCCCACATCTGCTTCGTATATTACCACGCTTGTTTGGTTAAAATAATTATAATCTTTTATGAGTTTTTAAATGAAGAACAGTACTGCAAGAAGGGAGCGTATGCTTTTGATGATAACATTTTGAGGTTGTTATCTGAATACCTTATATGAGAGGGAATTTGCAGAAGCAGAAGTGATTTGGGGTTTTTTTCCTTGTAAAGACAGACGTGCAAAATTTGGAGCATTATACATAAATTAGAATTTCAGAAAGTGTGAATTAACAAAAGGTCCTCTTTAGTATTTGTTTAAGCTGGAAGTCTGAAGAGTCTTCTCCCTGAGGGTATGAAACTGCTGTATATATTGGAAATAATAGTCTGTGATAGTTGGTGCGTACTGTACTTTTCAGAAGGAGAAGAAACTTTCATAATGGTGCTGAGCAAGGCGGTAGGAACAAATGAACTAGAGACTGAAATCTAGGGCCTCGCATCTGGGAGGTGTAAGTCCTCTTGATCCCCATGTCCCTGGCAATATGCCTGCAAAACCAAAAGGACTTTCCCCATAGAGAACTGAAAGATGTCCTCATGTGAGAACTTAGTGTCAAAAGAAAGTTCTGGAACAGGTTGTCTCTCGGAAGGTGATGCAACCTGAACTGGGGAACATGGGATGGAGACCTGCTGCTGGAAACTAGTCGAACCCAAGAGGCTGAGTTTTGCATCCACTTTAGTTTTGATGCTGAATCAATGGCAGGATTGCTGTGGGACTGAGAAGGGTAACAAGGAGGGAATAGTTTCCAAGGTTGAACCTGGGGAGGGGGCGTTGATAACGTTGGTGTCCTGTAGTAGTAATTTTTTGAT